CCCCAAAACCCCAAAACCCCAAAACCCCAAAACCCCAAAACCCCAAAACCCCAAAACCCCAGCTATATAATTTCGGTTGAAAATCTTCTTCCCAGATTTTTGGTGAAAGGTTTAAAATTACTTAGTTATCGAACAGATAAACATCATGTTTCTTCTCTCTGTTCAGTTTCAGAGGAACATGCTCGATCATGTGGTCGAAGGCTTCTTCCTCAGAGTCAAACCTGTTGAAGTTCTTCCTGGCTTCCATCACGAAGAAGTTGGCCAAGAACTGGCTGAACTCTATTGAGGTCTGGGAGTGAGGCACTTTCGAAGTGGGCCGCCAAGAGAAGCTGTTCTTCTCTGGGTGGAACTGTAAGCCCCAGATTGGGTACTTCTTGCTCTCGACAAAGACAACACATTCATCACCCTTCCTATCGTGGGAGGTTGCTAGCAAGTGGTAGTTGTCTCTGAGGCTAGAGTACTTGTTCCAGGCGGATGGGACTACTCCATCATGATGGTGGTAGTAAGTGAGCTTCTCTTTTTGGACTGCGTTAATTAAGTGTTGTGGCATTTTGCTAAAGAGTTTCGATTCGGATGTTTGTTTGAGAGTGACAGTTGCAGCCTCGTCAACGTTATCGAATCCGAACATCTCTACAGTGTCCTTGAATGGAGCTTCATGTTGCACAATTAGCTGGATTCCAAGGCAAATTCCCATAATAGGGTAATTGGACCCCCGGTCAGTCATTTCCTTAGCTTTATTGATAATGAGTTCGGCTTTTCTACCGTACTCGCTTAGTGTTCCATCTTCGTTCTTGAATGCAATAGCACCACCTGGGAACACGGCTCCATTTAGCTTGGAGACAAGATTAAGAATGTCTTCGTCAGAATCCCTCCAGACAATTGGAACTACTCTTGCTCCAGCAGCTTGGATGAACTTCACATAGGATGCCATGATGTAGTCGTTAACCTCATCGTATGGTTGGGTCATGATGCCTATCATAGGCCATTCATTGATTGGAATGCTTGGGTTAACTTCCTCAACGACTGGAACTGAATCAAGAATTTTCTTGGTGGCACTCTCTATTGGAATAATAGTGTCAATCTCAGTAATAGCATCAGCCTCAAGTGGTGAGAACCTATAAATATTGGTAAGAATCCATCGATATCGTAAAACCTACCTTAGTTGGAATCCTGCCATATTTATCAGCGCCATAGCCTTCTCCAGCAGAGATTGGGCAGACTTTCTGTTAAGTTTCCTTTGAACTTGCAATAATACTTCCATAAATTAATTGTTATTATCTGGAGGCCAAACTCCTCTGCTTATATTGGGGTTTTGGGGTTTTGGGGTTTTGGGGTTTTGGGGTTTTGGGGTTTTGGGG